TTTGGCACACTGTGGGGCGCTCATCCGTCGGGCCCGTTCGGGCTTGTTCCCAGTGCCGACTCTGGCGCCGGCTCCGGTGCCGGCTTGTCGCGGCTCATCAGTGCCGCTTCTGGTGCCGCTAGAGTCTGCGGCTGTGCGGATGTTGCCAGTCCAAGCACCTCTGGCGGTGCCAGTCACTTGCGGTGAGACGCTGAGTGCTTACAGGGCTGAAGAGCCGGTGCCGATGCCGACTGGCTCAGAGGTGTGGGCATAACCAATAGCGCACAGTGTGATCTTTCTGGCTGTCCCATCACTCCGGACGTACCCGGCTTGTCCCCATGACTAATCTGGGACAGTGAATTGGCTGGAAGAGAGCGTGTAGAAGAAGCTCTCTTCCTTTTTGTCACCAACGCCGCAGGCAATTGTGCTCTCCTTTTCTGCCCTGCAGGAGGTTCTGAGCCATGATCATCAGAAGGCTGTAAAGCCTTATCACACAGCAGGACTTTTAACCGCATGTCTCTCTCCTTGCGTGCTCTCGGAGTCAATTTTGCGCAATGGGCACATTTCTGTGGGACGTGTGATTCCCCTAGACATCTGATGCATGTCGCATGCCCATCAGACGCGGGCATTGCGTCCTTACACTGAGTACACCGTTTAAACCCGGGTGACTCAGGCATGATTCTCGATCAGCGTAACTATATACAGTGACTAATCTAATAAAACTAAGAAACAGTAACTAGAAGAAAAAAAATTTTTTTTTTGCTTTTCTGAGGAAAGAACTAACAACTACCTACCTACCTATAAGTACTAGAATTAAACTATTTGTGGTGTGGTTTTTTTTTTTTTTTTTTTTTACAGAACGGCTTTCTCCAAGGAGATAAATGGCGCTCCACCAGCAATCACAGGTGGTTGAGAGGAACTGGCGAGGGGGGTGGGACCGGATCGCGAGATGTTGCAAAGGCGCGAATGCTGCCTGTTGCTCTCAGGCATGTGTGGTCCAGCCCGGCTACAGCTCTGGAAATCTCTGACTAGCGGCGCTGGGTCGGGACCCAACACCTTGAGTGGAGCACCCACGAGGACCACTCAAAGAAGAAAAAAGAGAAAATATGATTAATTATTACAGGTTGTACCTCTCTGATCCGGCACCCTTGGTACCTGACCTGTCCTGAACCAAGGAATTTGTCAGACCATGGGAGGCCAATGCCGACCCCTCTACTGCAACCGGCTGCAGGGCTTTGCTCTGGCGGCTGCAGGCTGAAGCAGAGGTTGACTGAGCATGGCTTGGGGAAAAGAGGAAAGATGGCTGTGGAGCCCTGTGGGTGGGGAGCAGGGACACAACCCTGTGGGAATGCACTGAGCCCCCCCGCTGCCAGCCCCGGGGCCCCGCAACCCTTTGCCTCTTCCCTCCAAGTGTCCCCACCCCAGTCCTCACTGGGTCACTTCCATCCCCTCTACTGCTGCCGGCTGCAAGTCTGTGCTCCTGGCCCCTGACTGCGAGGCTCCGCAGTCACCCCGCCTCTTCCCCCAAGCGTCCCTCATGTCCCTGTCCCTCCCCCTTCCTTTTCCATCTTGAGCACCGCAAACGAGCTATTTTCAGCACTTCGGAAGCTCTGGCAGGGCAGAGGAGGAGTTGCAAATGTGGGGTCCTGCTTTTCTCCATGAGCATTCCAACACAAGAGCAGCCACAGGGATGGCAGAGCATAGATGTTGCCAGATGACAGAAGTCCAGACTGTAGAGGTCCAACCTATACTATTTATTGGTAATCAATAGAGATGGGTCTGAATGACAAGTTCAGATCCAGACTAAAACTAACCCAGTGTTTGTGGCTGTTTGGGCCTTGGCTTTCAATCCTGCTCCTCCCTGCCTGTTCACATAATACATCGCTGCTATGTTGTCCATCAGTATTCTTACTGTGAGACCTTTGATACGTGGGAGAAAAATGTTTGCATGCACAGAAAATTGCTCGGACCTCTAGTCGATTGATATGAAGATGCCTCTCGATGAGAGACCATTTGCCCTGGATTCGTTCGTTGGCCATGTGAGCACCCCAGCCGATGAATAGGCATCCAACATTATTTGTACCGATGGTTGTTGTCAGTGGAATGGAACCCACAACAAAAGATTTCAGGCTTTTGTCCACCAACGCAGAGACCTTTGAACATGCAAGGGTAGCCATACTGTCTTGTGAATGTCATGCTTCACAGGAACAGAAATCGTCGACAACCAGTGCTGGAGGTTCCTCAGATAGTGTCATGCGTGAGGAACTACAATGGTGGCAGCAGCCATGTGTCCCAGGATATGGAGGCAATTGTGAACAGAGACACTCACATTCCCGTTGAGTATGATGACGAGATCTTTGATCACCTGAAACCTTTCCTGTGGTAAGTATGCCCTCGCCGTGAGGGAATCCAGGTTCGCCCCTATGAACTTTATAATTTGCGTCGGGATAAGTGTTGATTTTTGTTTGTTCAGGAGAAGACCGAAGGATTCGAATGTGCGTTCGAACGTCGCCACCAGCTGTGATGCTTCTTGCTCCGTGGAACCTTTTATTAAGCAATCGTCCAGGCACGGGAATATTACCACTCGTAGCCGACGCAGATGAGCTTCTACGACAGCCAGGGTCTTCGAGAAAGCTCTGGGCACTGAGGTGAGACCGAAAGGCAGAACTCGATACTGAAAATGATCATCGTTTATCACAAATTGGAGAAAACGCCTGTGCGCGGGATGTATGGCTATGTGAAAGTACACATCTTGTAAGTCAAGGGCAGCGAACCAATCGTTGTAGTCGAGGGATGGGATTATGGAATTCAAGGTTATCATTTTGAAGCGCTGCTTCCGGAGATTATGATTTAGGTGGCGTAGATCGAGAATGGGTCTCCAACACCCTGTTTTCTTTTCCATTACGAAGTACCTTGAATAGAACCCTCTTCCCTTGAACTGATCTGGGACCCTCTCTATCGCTCCGAGGGTAAGGAGACGATAGGCTTCCTGTCGCAGGAGGCCTTCGTGAGATGGGTCCCTGAAAAGGGACGGGGAAGGTGGGGTGGTATGGGGAATGGAAGTGAAGGGGATGGTGAAGCCAACCTTTATGATTTCCAGCACCCATTTGTCCAATGTTATTTTGACTCATTGGTGATAATAGGGTCGTAGATGATGATGGAAAATCGGATCTGTGTGCGCAATAACAATTGGCGGAGTTTGCATGCCCTCGACAAAGAAGTCAAACTTTCTGTTTTGAGGCGGACATGCCGGACGCTCTAGGTGGTTGTGGGCACCTTCGCTGAGTCTTCTGTCTAGGGCGGGATTGGTCAAACGTGTGGTTTTGCTGTCTATGAGATGATAATCATACCGTCTCTGGTACCGAAAATAACGACGACGACGGAATGGTGGGATGTACATTCCTAGCATAAGGAGTGTCATTCTTGAATCTTTGCCAGTATGAAGTACCTCATCAGTCTTTTCCACAAACAGTTTTATCCTGTCAAACGGGAGGTCTTCGACTTTGGAGTGTAGCTCCTTGGATACCGCCGCTCTGGCAAGCCAGGACGAGTGTCTCATAGACACTGCTGTTGCTACTCCTCCATGCGGCCAAATATATCCAATTTCTTGGCCTCCTTATCTGCCCCTATATTTTTTAGTTGCGGGTTCTTAGCCCTTTGTAGAGCTGCATCAACGACCAAAGAGTTTGGTTGAGGATGGGTAAAAAGAAATTCTGAGTCTTTAGATGAGACAAAATAACACTTTTCCTCTGGTTTCGAAGTTGGAGTGGTCGAAGCTGGGGTATGCCAGATTTCTGCTGTCAATTGGAGGATTGCCTCATCAATAGGGAGAGCGACCTTAGATTGCTGCTTGGGTGTAAATTTCTCCAGAGCTTGAATTGCTTCATCGGGACATCTGATAATTGGACGTTCTGCGACTGAGCCACCCTCCTAAAAAGATCCTGAAATTCTTTTGTGTCATCAGGAGGTGAGGAATCCCCCTCAAATACAGCATCATCTGGGGAGGATGACGAAATATCTTCCAGAGATATAGGATGTGGGCGATCGTCCGTATCAGAAATTTGCCCTTCCTCAGGCTCCGACAGTTGAGCTGGGGCCGAGGGGGTCTCTAGACGAGATTTCGCCCTTTGACAATCCTGGATCGGAGGTTACTGTTGTGACCCATAAAAGGTATGGCAGCAGCACAGATGGGAACGGGACTGAGATCTATCGTGCCCACAGGATGAATGGTGACTCCTGTGGTCAATGTGCTCAGGGGACGATCGTCGTGAGGAATATCTGCTAGCATGCCTCCTGTGATAAGAGCTCGGAGGGGAGTAGTTCGGTGAGCAAGACCTATATGATGATCCCTGTGATAATAGGAATACCGGTCGTAATAATCTGAGTGACGAGACACTGATCTCCATCACGGAGAGCGCATTGTACGACTGTGAGACGCTGAATAATCTCTGACCACCGTTGAATGACGCGGCGAAAGCGAAGATTCTGGGGAAAAAACTGGTGAGGGCGAAATTGAGTGCCTTGGCCGCTTTAGTATGGACCTTAGTTGTATGGGCATATTCACGTTCTTCTGATGGTAAAGAACGGGAGGAGAGAGGAGGGGATTGACCCTCCATCAGGTACACTGTGCTACACTGCTGCTGTGCTGGGATCCCACATGGCACCGTGGGCAGCTCTGTCTCTGCCGAGACTGCTGACAGAGAGCGACCTACCGGTGCCGACTCGGCACACTGCGGGGCGCTCAGCCGTCGGGCCCGTTCATGCTCCTCCCCGGGCCTGTCCCTCGGTGCCAACTTTGGCGTTGGCTCCGGTGCCGGCTTCTCGCGGCTCATTGGTGCCGCTTCTGGTGCCGCTAGAGTCTGCAGCTGCGCGGACGCTGCTGGTCCAAGCACCTCTGGCGGTGCCGATCGCTCGCGGTGAGACGCCGAGTGCTTACAGGGCTGAAGAGCTGGTGCCGGTGCCGGTGCCGGTGCCGATGCCGACCGGCTCGGAGGTGCGGGCATAACCGATAGCACCCCATCACTCCGGCTTGTCCCAATGACTAATCCGGGACAGTGAACTGGCTAGAAGAGAGCGCGTAGGAGAGGCTCTCTTCCTTTTTGTCACCAATTGCGCTCTCCTTTTCTGCCCTGCAGGAGGTTCTGAGCCATGGTCATCAGAAGGCTGTAAAGCTTTATCGCACAGCAGGAGTTTTAACCACATGTCTCTCTCCCTGCATGCTCTCGGAGTCAATTTCGCACAATGGGAGCATTTCCGTGGGACATGCTATTCCCCTAGACATCTGATGCATGTTGCATGCCCATCAGATGCGGGCATCGTGTCCTTACACTGAGTACACCGTTTAAACCCAGGTGACCCAGGCATTATGCTTGATCAGCGTAACTATTTACAGTGACTAATCTAATAAAACTAAGAAACAGTGAGTAGAAAAAAATTTTTTTTTTTTGCTTTTCTGAGGAAAGAACTAACAACTAACTACTAACTAACTACCTATAAGTACTAGAATTAAACTATTTGTGTGGTTTTTTTTAACAGAACGCTTTCTCTGAGGAGATAAACGGCGCTCCGCCAGCAACCATAGGCGTTTGAGAGGAACTGGCGAGGGGGGGCGGGACCGCGAGACGTTGCAAAGGCACGAACGCCACGTGCTGCTCTCGCGCATGCGCGGTCCGGCCTGGCTATGGCTCTGGAAATCTCCGACTAGCGGTGCCAGGTTGGGACCCGACACCTTGAGTGGAGCACCCATGGGGAGCACTCAAAGAAGAATTATGTGCTTTTGGTACTGCCAGGAGAGGAACTATTGCTTGAGGGGTCTTAGGGAAATGAAAATGAAGTCCATAGTTCTATTACAGAGGATTCAAGACCCACTCTCCTTAGGAGGGTCTGCTCTGTGAACCCATATAGCTACCCCCTTCTATGTACCTCTGCTATTGACAGCATTGATTTTTGACTTTCCTCTCTTAAATAAAAGGTAGGTTTGTCACGCGCCTTCTCCCAACTGGGTCTACAAAGGAGTAATCTGAATGTAAAAAATTAAGCAAGCAGGTAATAGTGTTCCAAGCCTACCAAGACTGCATAACTGTTGCTGTGTTTGTTAACTGGTTTTCTGACAGGCATTTTCAACAAAACTCCCCCAGCCCTTTTCTCTAACCAGGAAGAATAGCAAGTGAGATGAATACCAAAATTTGACCTCAAAATTCTACCACATAAATGATACCAAAATCCTTGAAACAATCTCTCTCACCCAGTGACGTTTCATACCTTGCAGACTTTCTACTTTTGTAGAGCAGAGTTAGAGGACAAAATGATGAAAGAATTGGAATATTTAAGATATTACATATGTCTAAAGCCCCAAAGTGAGATAGAAGTGGTGTGAATAATCTTTAAATAATTCCCTACCAAATCATATTAATACATCATGCAGTGTGACAAATGTGAAAGTGTACTGAAAAAGTATTGCTAAAATAGTGGAAACATAATAACCCTTAGCTGGAGTGTGCTGTTCTGGGTTATTTATTATGTTGTGATCATGACCTACCAGCATTTTTTTTCATTTTAAACTACATGAACATTTTCGAGACACTAATTTAGACTGAGTTTACTAAGGCTGAAATGTTTGTCGTAATTATCTACAGCTTTACAGATCATTAATTTCCCCCCACAAGCGTGAAGCATAATGGCACTTATAAAAATGGTTTTACCATTTATTTGCAAATGATAAGAGAAAGAGAGAGCACTTTATCCATAAAGCCAGTCTGTTAACTGGATGTAAGCATTTAGGTTCCTTTGTAATAGAAGAAACAAAATACAGGACTAACACGGCTACATTTCTATCACTATTTGTAATAGAAGCAACCTAAGTAGGTATATTTTTCTTGCTAAGATGTTAGCCTTCTGAAAGTAACATTTTAAATTTGTCTTTTAAAAATTCTAATATTGTGATGGTACCTCAGATAAGATTGTTGTGTGGACAGAAGTTTTCCCAAGTAATTTTGGTAAACCAGGACAGCATGTAGCTGCTGCATGAACAGAGCTGTTTTTAGTACTTGTTTTTCCTTTGTTTTCTCTGGAATTATGGACCTATGTTTGGTGTCTGTTCTAAAAAAAAAAATGTTATTTTGTGTTCCTTAAATAACACACCATATGTCACAATACAAAATAGTAGCTGTGTGACTGTGCATATGACAGTGAATTTTGTTTTATATTACAGATTTTTAAAAATATTATTTTTTGATTTAAGCTGACAGTACCAGAAAGGCCAGAAGCAGTAACAAGTAAACCCATAAATTCCTCTAGTTGAATGACTGAGTAAATGTTGGGTCCAGAGCAAAAGTAAACCTGGAAAAAGCCTGAATTTTGTTAGCTCTATAGCAGTAAAAAAGAAAAGAATCAATTGCCAACTTGCCACTAGTGGAGTTTTGAGACATCTATGAGCAGCCTGGCAACTCTGAAAGTATAGCCATTTCCTGTGGATCATCTTTGGCTTATCTATCTTCCTCACTACGAGCTTTGAGAAGGCCACTGAAAAACAGGCGAGGAATGCTTGAGTGGAAAAGCACTTCACCAGCTGGCACATGTATTCACCAAATGTCAGGATTTAGCCTAAAAATGACAAATCACATTAAAAGGAAATTGTGGCATGCAAGCTATGAAGATTAGTGTGATTATGTACTTTCATTTGGCTGCTGTGCTTTATAAACAACACATGATAACAAATGTAAAGCTCACCTCATAAATATTTAAGTGATAATACACAATAGGCAGTGACTTACATTATTGCATCCACTGGTTGGTGGTATATTATGAGGCACAAAGACAAAGTGATTTTTAGATATTTACAAATGATGGCTCCTTAGAATTTACCTGGGCTTGTCATATCACTCTTAAAAAACAGAATTTATAAATAAAAGAGGAAAATGTTGAAAGTTATACATTCACTGGCTATTACTGACAGCTAAAACATTCCAGACAGGCCAGTCTGAAAGTGACATTAGCATGCTGAATTCTAACCCCTTTTCAAAATTAACAATGGAATTATATTTAATCTTAAACTAGAATGGCAAGTACTTGGAAGGACTGTAAAGTAATGGGGGCCTGATTCTAACACTCTTGCACCTTAGCAGTTGTGAAGATCACAGGAGACATCTGCATTCTTTTTATAAATATTGTGTGTACTTCTGTTTTATATGATTATCATCATGTTTTCTGCTACCTTTTCAAAATTAACAATGGAATTATATTTAATCTTAAACTAGAATGGCAAGTACTTGGAAGGACTGTAAAGTAATGGGGGCCTGATTCTAACACTCTTGCACCTTAGCAGTTGTGAAGATCACAGGAGACATCTGCATTCTTTTTATAAATATTGTGTGTACTTCTGTTTTATATGATTATCATCATGTTTTCTGCTACATGG